ACCACAGGAGAGGATGGTGTATCATTGCAGAGTTACAAACAAACAAACAAACAAAAGCCAGGGCAATTTCATACATGTTCAAAAAAGTAAAAATGAAAAATGAAAATTTCTAGAAAATAAAAAAACAAAGTGCTTACATCTGGCACATGGTGAACTCAGTAATGATTAGCCATCATTATTCCTAACTAATGAGATGTTGAAGAGAAAGAAGGAAAAGTTAAAGACAGCTCAAGGCTTTTAAGCGCTGGTTTTTAACATATTTTCTGTTTTAGTATTTTGTTTTGCTGTGACGTGCCTAGATATGGATTTAGGTTGGTTTTTTATTTTTTAAATCCTACTTTGGACTTTTTATTAATCAAGAGTACAGGCTTCAGCCTCCTCCCACTCTTTTTGGACTGACTCTAGATTTCCTAATCTTTTTTTTCCTCTTTTTTTTTTTAGAAAGGGGAAAGATTTTTCATAAGGCATATGCACTCAACAGAGAGATGAGAGACAGAGAGTAAGAAATTATTCCCCGGGAGATGGCTATGCCACAGTCCCTTCTCCTCCAATCTCCTCTTGGGATTTTGGGCATGCACATACATGCACCCAGTGTGAGTTTCAAGTCACTGTCGAGCACATTGGAGTCCAGTGCCTTAACCACTAAGCCACCTGCTGGCTTCCTTCATCTTTCTTTCATATGCTCACCTCTTTATATACTTTTGTTGTATTCTGGCAATTTCTATACAAAGTTTCTCTCTCTCTCTCTCTTTTTTTATTTTCTAAATTCAACTCAGTAATCCATTCACTAAGAGAAACAGAGACAGACTCCCAGCAAAGTCTGCACCCCACAATCCAACTCCAGCCTCGGCTGACCCCAGATCATGAGCACGTGTGTGCCTACTACACTCAGGGAGGTCTTGAGACTCAAACCCAGAGCCTTCCCATGTGAGCCAGACACACAGAGCACTGAGTTTTACCACTCCATCGCTGTCCGGTTCCAATGCTAGCTCTCTTCACCACCAATTCCGTATGTCCCGTTGGTTAAGAGCATGGACTCTTGAGCTAGACCACTCGGTCTGAATCTGCCCTTTCTACTTCACAATCACGGGACTTGACAGCATTATGTACTCTCAGTGCCTCAGTTTCCTCACCTGTAGAATGTGGTTATAGTCCTTTCCTTGCATTGTCACTGTAGAGATTAATTTAATAATACTTGTAACCTGCTAGAAAGAATGTCTAGTATATAATAAAAGCTCAATGCATATCATTGCTTTCCTCACGGTTTTTGTATTCTATGGCCCATTAATAGGGGCCTTTTCTCTCATCTTGTGCTACCTAGAAGACATTAACCATTAGCTACCCTATCATGTGGCAAATAGAAACTCTAGCGCTTCCACTCCACTGAAATACTCTCATTAAGAATGAAAATATTTAACAGAAAAACAAGTCAACAAAGATTAAAACTCCCAAAGCCTAGTAGAAAACAAGTTTCCAGAGCAATTTTAGCAATTAGTTATTCTTTAAGATGAATTTAAAAGGTTGCTGATATTGGGGCCAGCAGGTGGTACGGTGGTTGGGGCACTGGACTCCCACACGGCTGACCGTGGATTGAGTCTCAGATCTGGTGGCTTGTGTACGTGTTCTCTCTCTCTCTGACCAAACTGAAGAAAATAATAAATAAAATTAAGTAAATAATTCAGGGGGAAAAAAACAAGGTTGCTGATACTTATAGATCTTGTGGGGTTATAACATGTTTGTACTAAAAAACGACCACATTTCAGTTTTGCTAAACTTCAGGATGGAAAATCGTTGGCAGCAGACCCACCATCTTGACTCTTGGGAAACGTGGGCTTCTGGCTTAGAACACAAGAAACTATAACCCAATATAGCCACCTAGTGGTAGCATTCCTAAACTGCAGGGAAAGGATGACCATGTTAGGCATTAAAAATGGTCGCCACCAACAGACATGAACTAGATGGGCAGCTAAGTTTACTTCCAAATATACCGAGTTTGTGGTGATGGAAAAATGTGTAGCAAACATATCTGATAGTCCTAGGGAGGTAAATAACAAGAGAACTGCCCACTCACAGTTCTATTTTAAAATTATGCAGAGCCATGTCGTATTGGAAGCTGGAGAGAGTGAATCTCACAGGAAAACGAGGAAAGGAATCCAGCGAGGCCTCCAACACAATCAAAGGCGAGGCCAGAAGATAATCTTGGAGCTGCTTTTGCTCAGATCCTACAGAGAACCAAGCCCCACAGACCCAAGGAGGAAACACCAAGCTAGAGCTCTTTAAAGCCAACTTTTCATACTATTTTTCCATATTACACAATATGCTGCAAACTAAAAACATAAAATTATTTTGGTATCTAAGGATCTGTAACAGCTACTCAAAAAATAAACATAGTTTTCCTATGAGAACGTGTTCATTTAAAGTCGTTACAAATATAGAGAATTCTGATGATCATTCTTAAGTACTTTTGTGACTATCACTAACCTGCTTCTTCAGCTTTCTTCGGAAGAACTCATACTTTCTTTTGTAATCCCTGGAGTAGGGCACTGCCTGGAGTAGAAAATGTTAGAAAAATAAAGATTTGGGTTGTTTTTATTCTCAAAAAATTTTTAAAGTTCCCCGCTGGGTATTTTATAAACATTCATTAAAGGCATTAAAAGGAAACATTTGGAAAGAAAACTTGAACTTGAAGACAAAGGTAAAACTTTAAAATGTTTCATTTCTCTGTTTATGATAAAATTTGATTCAGCAATTCTTATGCCTGTAACTTTCATCATTCTTAAAGTGTGACATGCCAGATACAGATTTCTTCCAAGTAGAGAAATATTAGAAACAAAAATTTCCATTTCTAAAAAGACTTTGAAAGCGATTTCTCCATTAAGGGAACAATGTGAAAAATGTACTTTTGCCTTGAACTCTGAGGAGATGCCTTTTTTATCCATTATTTTTAAAGACTACGCACTGATATACTAAAGAGTGATCTAACAAAACAGTATCTTCAACTTTACTTATTTTTTGTGAAATCAGAATCGGAATTTAAAAATGGAAAAAATAACTATATAAAAGAGAATGATTTTCCTGTAATGAATCTGTATCAAGAATAGTGTGAAAAAAAAAGAATAGTGTGATCATTATGCGCAGTACTATTTATATTTAAATACAGAGGTGTCATCCAGTGGGCACTGTTAATGAGATTTCTACTTCTGCCAAGTTCAAGATATCACCCTGGAGTTGACAGAACGCCCACGGCCACTTCCTTGTTGTGAAACCTTCTTGGCCCCTTCCAGATCTGCCAAGGACTGTCACCGTTCTCCATTGTCTCAGAGAATGGTGAGTTCCAGCCCGAGGTCAACAGCCTTAGTCCCCCAATGCTATTACATGGAGCACGGATAATGATGTTATAGGATCTTTTTAAATAGTTGAGACTTAGGGTAGGAGTGGTGGGGAGAGGAGAAAATGGCAAACCTGTTTTTCTCTCAATGCCTATAGGAGTAAGCCCTCCATCAAATGCCCTTGGCAGGCAGATGAGAGGACAATCCCATCAGACGCACTGACACAGAGAGACTTACTGGTCCAGTAATTGCGACATTCTGCAACCGAGGGTCTTCCCACTGTGTCCTTTTTATATCTGAAGAGAAGAAAAGTAAAATAAAAGAAAGAAAAGAAAAAAAGGAGGTGCTTTTTCCCATGCGCACACTTTGGTGTTACAAAAAAATAATGCAGTGAAAAATACTGCAAACATACTGTGGTTTATGTAGAAGATTCTTCCATCTGTGTGAGTCCTCTCTTCCCAGCCTGGCTATAATTAAGAACATAATACAGTTACATGAGGACAGGGGTTTTAGACGTGTGGGAGGAAAAACTGCATGGACCAGATGACTAAATGACCTTGCATATTCTAGGTTTAATAGAAGACGTTAACACAAGTATGGTTGCTAAAAAATGACTATATTTCAAAACACAGAACGTTTGAGCTACTCGAGTTAGATTCGTAGCCGTTCCATAACTTACAGGTAAAGGTCCTAGATCATTAGAAGAATCAAGTGGTGTCTTTCCTCTCAGATGAGCTGGAATCTTCAATCTTGGATCTTCCTTTTTTGGTAGAGTAAATAAAGACAGTAATACACACACAAAGTTAAAATAATGAAAGTTGACTTGTTACCATGTCTTCTAATATTCATGGATGTTTAAAACTTCACTTCCTTAATCTGTGATATAATAGTTTCTCCTTCTAAAATGATCACACTAAGGCTATAATATTAAAAGGTTAGGAGGGTCAGTTCTCAGAAAAGCACCAGTAAAACTGATCATGTCTTACACAGAAGCCATTCAGGGTATTCAGCGCCAAGCCTCGGAGACTGTGTCACTCACTGTACAGGGCTCTTGTCCGCATAAAAACCAAAAGAGCTGGGAGTTCATTTGGATATCATTTCTCTTTTTTAAAGTTGTCTTTAGGCATGTGTACTTGCCAGAGAGAGTGGAAGAAAGTACTCTACCATGGGAAATGACAATCCCTTTTCCATTTTCCCATCCTGTTGGCATTTGGGCACACATGCGGATACACCTGTGTGTTTTCAAAGCTGCAGGGTTCATGATTTGCGCTGCCTTGCTGGCCATGTGATACCTAGCTCCTGCAACCACTGGGTTACAGGGTTGGCCCATACATGATCTGTTTTCTTTTTTTTCCCCCCATTTTTTAAGTTTTGTGTACTTGCCAGACACAGAGAGAGAGATTAAGTAAAAAAAAACACCTCCCAGAGGGATGGCCACACCACAGTCTCTTCTCTTCCATTTTCCTGCCAGGATTTTGAGCATGCGTGCACATATACCTAATGTGATTTCCAAACTGCTGGGTTGGGAACTTGAACTGTGCAGTAAGTTATGTGGGATCCAGTCCCTTAACGTCCATACCACCTGCTGGCTCCAGTATTGGTCTTTTTAGGTTAATTAAAGTCTATTCATTTACTGCTAATTTTCAGTAGTCTATTAGTGGTGAGCCAATCACTGAACAACTTTATCGTAAAGTAAAAATAAATGTTCTACCCATGAGGTTTTTTTTCATAATGAGATACGCATTCAAAACTACTTTGAAACGATCAATATAAAGCTTCACATAAAGATCCATGATTATCACTAAACATCTTCCTAAGCATTTATGGTTAGTGAGTTAAACACCAGAAATAGAAAGCAAATACGACTATCTCCATGGCAACTCAAAACAATATTTAAAAGAGGCGTAAACATACCATAAATAGAAATGTTATTAAAATATTATTAAAAATTCAACATATCTTTCAATGAATCCTAGGAAATCTGTACACTGAAAAATCTTTCATACCGAAAGAACAATACCTACAATCACTATTGCTACTATAAACTTAAACAGAAGAGTATTAAAGCTACCCAGGTGGTGGTTTTGGTGTTGTGGTCAATAAAGAAAGGCCTCCCGTTTGGTGCATGCCGGACTTCCCAGCCCTTAGGAAGGAATCCTTGCTCAAGTTCAGCCGGCTGGGTCACCTGCTGTGCCGAGTCACCTGAGAGGACCTGTGGTTGAGGGCTTACAGACGAGCTCTGGCTGGGGGGCAGCTGTCTGGTCTCCACTGCGACCTAGCAGATTAATGAAACCACATTGCAATACATTACTTGATGGACAACTCACAAATAGCTGTGGGGAAGAAAAGGTAACTTAACCTGCAAACAGGATACGCGTTTATAAATAGGCCCTGAACGTTCAGGCTATGGGGCAGGTGTACTCACAGAGACAGAGAGAGGCAGAGGAGAAAGCATGCCCAGTGGGGAATAGTCATGCTGACTCTTCTCTTCTATCTCTCCCCTCTTTGGGATTTTGGGCGTGCACAAGTGCTGCCGTGTTTCTCAAGCCCCTGGGCCCAGAACTCGAATTGCAGGGTCAGATATGTGGTATCTGGCTGCCTTAACCACAAGGCCATAGAGTTGACTTGTCCTTAAATATTTGAGGCTCGTTTTCTTTCCTTTTCTTTCTTTCTTTTTTTTTTTTTTTTAATTTGCCAGACGGTGTATACTTGCCAGAGAGAGACAGTGAGAAAGACTGAGAGAAGGGAAGTGAGGAAAGCACCCCCTCCCCCTCATGGGGGACAGTCACATCATAATTCCTTCTCCTCTATTTTTTCCCTCCTTTCAGAATTTTGGGGGCACACACACATGCCCAGAGTGTTTTTCAAGCCAATGGGTCCAGGACCTGAATAAGCACTAGGCCATGTGGGATCCAGACATCTTAACCACCATGCCACCTGCTGGCCCTAAGACTTCATTTTAAAAAATACAACATGTAGGGGACCAGCAGTTAGCTAATGGCTATGTTGCTGGACTACCAAGTAGTCGACTGCAGTTTGCATCCTGGACCTGGTGGCTTGAAACTCACGCCGGGCGTGTGTGCATGCGTGCCCAAGATCCCGAGAGGAGAACAAAGGAGAAGGGATTGCGGCGTGACCATCCGCCCCGGGGGGGGGGGGGATTTCTCGCTTTCTGTCTCTCTGTCTCTCTCTGTCTGTCTGGTGAGCACACGTGCCCTATAGCAAAAACTTCTCCAAAAAAAAAAATTTACAACATGTAGAAGTAAACATGGTAACTTACTTATGGTGTTAAATTATGGGTGTTAAGAATATGAGTATTGGGTACATTAATATTTGTACTTTTCAGTATTAAAAACTTATTCAACAAGCAAAATGGTGATAAGACGAAATATTTTACTGAACACAAGAGAGTAACAGAAGGCACTCGCTATTGCCAAGAACAGTGTTATCACCACAAATTCCTCTAATACATACTCGTCACCAACTCCGACTTTCAGCAAAGTAATAGTCTTAACTATTCAAATTACAAAATCATCCAATGGACGAGATCATTTACTTGATCCCCTAATTCTCATTTAGACTTGTTTTATATAATAACAAGTAGTAATTCATATATATTAGAGAACCACAGGAAGTGGTAGACGCTTAGCACCAATGTAAAAAATAATTAGAAAATCCAGTATACATTATAAAGTGATGTAATAGCTTACATAAGAATGCGACATTTTAAAATTATTCACTTAATTTTATTTATTATTATGATTATTATTTAATTCGACCAGAGAGACAGAGGAAGAGAGAAAGGGAAAGTGAGAAAGCAAGTCACCAGGCTCAGGACTTGAACCATGGTCAGCCATGTCAGAGTCCAGCAACTTAACCACCATGCCACCTGCCAGCCCCAAGAATGTGACACTTTAAATCCTGCAGGAAAAAAGGTTACTACTAGGCAGACCGTAGGTACCTGCACACTGGGCTTTGTCCAGGTAGTAGTTCTGGAATTGTGATCTACATAATATGATCTTCCTCTTTCGTCTTGTTTTTCTTCCCAACCTGGTGGTAATCCAGATGAAGTAGGCAAAAGCTAAAGAGAAGAATCACAAAAAAGTTAAATATTAATAAGAAAGAATTCTTTAAAAGGACTATGTCTTTTCTTCATTCCTAACTCTTTAACATTAACCATATTTTATTTTATTCTGAGCTAAAATCATTTATTACAATAGAGAATGGGAAAATAACACATTAAGAAAATTTGCTAGAGGGTGCATATGTTCTGTGGAGAGAGACAAAGAGTGAGGGCAAGTGAGAAAGCAACCCCCAGGGGGGATGGTCACATTGTAATCCCTTCTTAATCTTTACTTTGGGGATTTTTTTGGACATGTATGCATAGAAACCCAGCATGCCCTTCTAGTCACCCAGTTCTGGGACTTGAATCATGCAGCTGGCCATGCGGGATGTAACTGCTTTAACCACGCCACTGGCTGGCATTACATCTTTCTTCTTTCTTTTTTGTCCCTTTTATTTGCATTTAACCATTGTACTTTTTTTTTTTTTGTCTTAGGGCATGTGTGCTCACCTGAGAAAGAGAGAGAGAGAGAAAGGGAAAGTGAGAAATCACCCCCAGAGGGAATGGCCATGCTGCAATCCCTTTTCCTCCATTTTTCTCCTGGGATGGGATCTTGGGCATGCATGCACACCATGATTTTCAAGCCACTGGGTATAGGACTTGAACTGTGGTTGGCCATGTGGGAGTCCAGCAACATAACGACTATGCCATGTGCTGGCCCCTAATCATTGTACATCTTTATAGTATACAATATGATTTTTCTTTCCTTTTCTTTTTTTTTTTTGTCATATGGTACATGCACTTGCCAGAGCAAGAGACAAAGAGAGACAATGAGAGGGAAAGTGGAAAATCATCCCCCAGGTGGGATGGCCATGCCTCAGTCCCTTCTCCTGGGATTTTGGGCATGCACACATATGCACCTGGCATGATTTTTATCCACCAGGTCCAGGACTAGAACTGCGGTTACCCATGTGGGATTCCAGCACCTTAACCACGATGCTACCTGCAGGGCCCCAATATGGTTTTTCAAAGCATGCATGCAATATATGACAACTAAATCAAAGATCTCTCTCTCTCTATATTCCAACACAGAACTTTATATTCTCGTGTCTGTTAAATGTTTCCCCCTGAACCTCTCCTCCCATCCCTTACTCTCCTCACCCCCTCTTATGCAGTCTCTACAGTGTCTGCACTTGCCTTCCCTACTATTATATCTTCGAAGCTTCCAATTTCTGCCCTAGAGTGCAGACATTTGGTATGTAAGGAGAGTGGATATACAATGTTTGTCTTTCATAGCCTAGCTTGTTTAATTTAGCATTAACTCTTCTATATTCATCCACTTTGTAGCAAATGACAGGGTCTCATTGTTCCTTATAGCTGAGTAATATTCCATAGTATATATGTGCCACATTTTTAAAATCCAGTCATCAGTTCTGGGGCATTTAGACTGATGCCATGTCTTAGCAATTGTGAATAATGTTGCAATAAACATGGATGTGCAAATGTCTTTCCAACTGGGTGTTTCCCTGTCCTCTGGATAAATACTGAGGAGTGGGACAACTGGTTCACTTGGTGGTTCTGTGTGTAGGTTTTTAAGGAATCTCTACATTGTTTTCTGTGGTTGCCATACTATTCCCATCAACAGTGTAGGAGGGTTCTTTTTCCACCACAGCCTCTCCAGCACTTGTCATTCTTTATTTTGTTGATGATAGTACTCCGATCAAGACTAAGTGGTAGCTCATTGTGGTTTTGATTTACATTTCCCTAATGATAAGAGATGCTGAGCACTTTTTCATGTGCTTTTTGGCCATTCATATCTTTCTTTCTTTTTCTTTTCTTTTTTTTTTTTTTAGTAAAGGGCAAAGTAACCCATTTTTCTCTGATGCAAAAGCCCATCTTCTGAGCCCCTACATCCTTGCTGCTTACTTTGACAACAAGTCATGCATCTTGATCTGTCATGTCTTTCTTAGACAGTGATCTGTTCAGCTCATCTTAAAATTGGATTATTTGGTTTATTATTTTTTGCAAATGGATTTACATTTTTAATTTAGTAAATCATAGTTTTTATTATTATTTTTAAAAATTTGCCAGAGGGTATATGTGCTCACCAGAAAGGGAAAAAAAGAGGGACACAGAATCCTACAATGCAGTATGGGCCCACCATAACCCCTTCTTCTCCATTTCTTCACCCTTTTGGATTTTGGGCATGCATGTATACATGCCTAGCATGTTTTTCAAGCTGCCAGGCTGGAATTCCAGCCATGGTTGGCCATGTGAGATTCAGCTCCCTTAACTGTTCAGTCACAGGGTCAGCTTTTAAATGATATCTTGAAATGTTCAAAATAAAGTGTATCGCATTTCTCTTGGGTAAAGAAAATAGAAAGGCAATAATGATATAATGATATGAATAAACATGTCATCACTAACCACCACATACTAAATTTCTTTTCTTTCTTTCTTTTTTTTTTTTTTAACATAGATCATGTCATTTAACCCTCACATGAATCTTATGGTAATATTGGTCCATTTTACTGATGAGTAAACTCAGGCTTAAAAAATGAATTTTCTGGGACCAGCAGTTAGCGTAAAGGCTATGTCACTGGACTCCCACGTAGTCGACCGCGGTTCGAGTCCTGGACCCGGTGGCTTAAACTCACGCTGGGTGCGTGTGCGTGCATGCCCAAGATCCCAGGAGGAGAATGGAGGAGAAGGGATTGTGGCGTGACCATCCCCCTGGGGGGTGATTTCTCTATGTCTCTCTCTGCCTGGCAAGCGCATGCGCCCTATAGAAAAAAATTCCAAAAACCTCTCCAAAAAAAAAAAAAGAATTTTCTCAGATTGTAAGGAATGGAACTAAAATTCTCACAGCTTATAAGGAATGGAACTGAAATTTGAACCCAGGTAATTTAACTACAGAAATCACACATAGGTACTGCATCAACAGTTACCACCATCTTGTCCATGGGCTGGGAGACGCTATTTATCATATTTATCATAAACGAACAAAAAGGGGGATGAGCAGTTAGCATAATGGCTATATCACTGAACTCCCATGTAGCCGACCATGGTTCGAGTCCCAGACCCGGTGGCTTAAACTCACGCTGAGTGCGTGTGTGTGCGTGCCCAAGATCCTGAGAGGAGAATGGAGGAGAAGAGATTGCAGCGTGGCTATCCCCCCTGGGGGTGATTTCTCACTTTCTGTCTCTGTGTCTCTCTGTCTTTCTGGCGAGTGTATGCACCTTATAGCAAAAAACTCTCCAAAAAAAAGAAAAGAAAAAGTTGTTGAGTTTGAACCAGCTGCAGTGGTGAGTGCTGCTAAGACACTGTGCTGTGTGGGCTGGGGCTACATGGAAGGCCTGGGTTCGATTCCTAGTCAAAACTAAAGGCTGGGCAGGGTGGCCTGAACTTGTGATCCCAACAGCCTGGGGAGCCTGAGGCAGGAAGACTGTGGGCGTGAGGCTGGCCTGGGCCACACAGTGATATCCTATCCAAAAGGAGTCATGTGCCTATGGTCCCAGCTGGGAAACGGGGGCAGGAGGACTGCAACACACTGAGCCTCTGTTCCTAACAAAAAAGGTGCCGAGTTTTACTTTTTTACTGATGATAGAGAGAAGAGGATAACACTCACCACAGGAAGTGTAGGCTGTTCCTCAAAGGTATAGGCTTGTAAGCTGCCTCTTCTGCTGGAATGATTCTTGTTTAAAAAAAAAGACAAACAGTAAAACAGCTTTAGATCCCGATCTGTCTTTGAATGGCAGATAAGTTAGTGAGGGCGATGCTGGGGCAGGAGAAAGATGGCTGTTAGGACTAGACCTCCGGGGCTGAAGGTACGACACAGCCACTGTCAACGCCAGGTGCTGGCGCCTCCCCTCCAGCTCTGACTCGTCCCAGTACCAGGTTGCGTCCGGACACCTTCTCTGGATGTCTAATGGATCCCTCTCAGAGTGTCTAACTGGGTTTGGTTTCTCCACATGCAGACCTGGTCTTTCTCCAGTATTCCTTATCTTAGTGGGTGGCACCCAGGATCTAATCATTCTTTCTTTACTCTCCTTGTAGTTCAAGTTTTTTTTTTCTTTTTCTTTTTTTTTTTTTTTGGAGAGATTTTCGCTTATGGGG